CCACAGCAGTCCCACTTCATGAAAGCCAAGGTATCATAGTTATCTATGTCTATTACATACAGGCCCAATGTATATGTTTCCCAAGTGTTTTCAAGAATTACAAATCATATGAATTACAGATACGTCCTGAAAAAAGATGAAAACCATCCTACTGCTCCACATATGCATGCATGCATGTACACAGATACACACACACACACACACACATATTCTATCTTATATGTGTGTGTGTGCGTGTGTGTATCTGTGTACATGCATGCATGCATATGTGGAGGATACACACACACACACACACATATATTCTATCTAGCTGAAGCCTTATCTACAGGTGGCTGTTGGTTCTGTCTCAAAATCTGCCCAATCATTTAACAGAAAAGTGAATTGTGAATTTAACTACTGAACTAATCTCAAAACAAGCACTTTCCCTCTAAAATATATTTACATCTATTTTAAATGTGGTATATACTGTACACTGCTTGCACAAAAGGCAATTGTTAACTCTAGAAATAGGCACTCTAGAATAGAAAGCAACACTGGATAGAACAACCTACAAGATCCATTAAATAATCCTGTTTTCCAGAAATTACCATGAAGGTAAGCACTTTTCAGTCTGGCTAATTTAAGTAAAAAAGTTCCTCTATTTCCTTTTAAAATCAACAAAGCAAATTAAGGATTCATATCTTAAAAGTTTTATATGAAATAACCCATAGCAATTTGTTTTACAGCCACCACATCTGGGCTGCAAAAATCCAAACCACCAATAAAAGGGAACAAAGAAAAAGTCTGCTACCATCTAAAGGTTGTCTATTTCAGATATGGTGCCCCTACTCTTAAAATTTCCCAATACAAGTTACACTCTTACCTCAGTGTTTGTATAATATGTGTTCCATGATGATCGAAGAGATTCTTGGCCTCCAATATCCCACATAAGAAATCGTGTATTATTAACTACAATCTCTTCCACATTGCTACCTATTGTTGGGGAAGTATGTACTACTTCATTCATAGAACTGCAAAAGAAAAAAAAAGGAGGATACATTTTCATTTCATCCTCTATGCTCCACATATATATAATTGACAATGATCTAAGTTATAAAAATCCACTTGCATTTATTACTGAAATATTTGCAATATAATCCTATGTTTTTCAACAGAATTCAGTTCTGAGTAACTGAGCATAGGATTACAACATAAATTTAAAGGTTTTTTCCCCCTTTGGTGTAACCATGGTTCTTGGTAACAGTCTTAAAAATAAGAATGTTTCATTCTACTCTTGCATCATAAATTAATAAAATAATTATGTGCCAAACATGATAGTGCGCAAAATTTAAATTTCCTTATGTAATGTGACATGAGCTTCAGCAACAATTATATTCTCAGTTGTTTTAAGATCAAAATATAACCTAGCATCTCCCTCAATA